CATATTGCCAACATATATATATATATAATCTATCTATATATATATATATACGAATGTGTATCAATTAAGGTGGAAAATAAAATCAATTTATTTATTTATTTAGTGGGCAATCGCATGTAAAATGCATATGAGGCTATGCGCCTGGATTTGTGTTTGTGTTTTCATTTATTATTTATTTACTCCCCCATTGCTATGGCCCCAGAGCCAGATCCAGAGACAGAGACAGAGCGCCCAACCCGAAACCAATTTAACATTGGCAGAGGATTTTCTTTCCTCGCCACTTTAGTCCTGTTTGCACACTGCACCCACACCTAATTAATGCGAGTCCTTGTACAGCGCGCAGTGCAGGTTTTTCAACTTACCAACTTACCATCCCGCCCAATAAAACAAATGGGTTAAGCGAGGGGATAGCTAATGGGGGAGGAAGGTTAAATCGTTGCAGGACAGGTAACTATTGAATGGACGAGGAAAAACTACTACTGCTTGCGACTAAGCCATGACTAAGAACGGCGGAATGGGTAGTAAATTGGATGAAAAATTGATTCAAGGGGTCGGTCGGTGGGTCGGTTGGTCGGTCGGTCGGTTGGTTGGTTGGTCAATTTAAAATCGTTTTATGTCAATAGTTGTTATATGATAATTGCACCATGATTTCAGCTAATTTTCCCTTTGCCCCATCATTAAGCCATTAAACTGGGCTTCCCTTTTTCGATTTTTAGTTATGGATGGGCACATTTTGATAAGGTAATTGGGATGAAGTGTTAAGGAAATGCTTCTTAATCGATCTTTTTAGATAAATCTCGTATTTGTAATCATGTTTTCACGGATAAAAACCCACATAAAGCTTAACAATCAAGAAAATCAAATGGCATTTATTGTCTTATTTCCACCATAAACGAAATCATCAAGTGAAAATCTACGTCCGCCCGAAATCAAATCAGTTTTCTATGTTTTTCTTTTCGGTTTTTCCTTCAACCATTTTGCTGCGCTCAATTAGTTTTGTTAAAGCTTTCAATTTACACACAATTTTTGGAGGGGGCGATGTTCGGGCCAATGGCAAATGGAAATCTCTGAATATAAAAAGGGGCGTGGCTGGAAAAGCTGGTGTCGTGCGGGTAGGGGGTAGAGTAGAGTAGAGTAGAGTCGCCAAGCCTGTGCCTGCCGTTCGTCTGTACAACATAATTAAGTTTAATTGACAACCGCTGACTGTTTGATTGGCTTCACTTGTTGTTGTCGTTCTTCTTCTTCTTCTTCTTCTTCTTATTGCTCTTCATTGCTTGTTGTTTTATTTTCATTTTATTGTTGCTACTGTTGTTGTACTTCTCCTTGACTGACTGAGTGACTGCCTCCACATTTGTGCCACTTGGCCAGGCTCAACAATGACTACCAGCGGCCCCTCTCTCTCATTATGTATATAATTTTCATTTAACATAAACATATACACATATGTATATTCATCATATTAAGTACAATATGCAATTGTTGATGCGGTCACACGGGGCGTATGCTTAATGTGCACGCCACTGAATGGAAATTATGAATGGAGATGAGGGAGGTAGGAACAAGGGGGAAGGAAAAGACAGCACTCAATAAATCATTCGGAATGAGCTTTGAGCTGCACGTTAATCACACAGACAGCACCGCCACCGTACAGTCCGTCACATAACAATAAAGCTGATGAGCGGGTCTTGTGTACAAAAAATTTCGATAAAAAATTATAAAATATAACCATTTAGATATTTGTTATTATTAAAAAAAAAGGTTTTTAGTCAAGTATTTAGTAAAATCTTGAAACTTCTGGCCACTGGTTTAAGGTCCAGAAAGCCTTTGCTTTGCCCTCAAATCTGGCATTTGTGTTTAATCAATTAAACTGGATAATCGGGCGATTCCTAATGGAAATCCACTAGATTTGGTGCTCGATATGTTAGTCCTCTGCCCTGCCCTTGCCCACACACATCCCCCCCTTGGGGAAAACCAAACAGGATTCCGAGGCGAGGCCATGTCTTCTGATGAATCAAGCGAACTCGTTGCGCTGACAGACGGAACATTGTTGAATGTGGCGGAACACCAACACCAAACAGAACACCAACACTGCCGCCGCCACCATCACCGAACCAAGAACCAAGAACCGAGCAGAAAACTTTGAAATGGATTAAATGACAGAGTGGGAGTGCGACTTGGGAGGAGAATTGGGAGGAGACTTGGGCCAAGCCCACAGTTCAATGGACGATTTTCATTTTGCTTGCGGTAGACAAAAGTTTTCTCCTCTTTTATATCAAAGTTGCGACATAAGGGCGGGAATAAGCCGGGGGCTAAATGGTAGTTATACCACCAAGCTTTGCTCTCTCTCTCTTTCTATACATTACCGCTAACGAGAAATATCAACTGTTAAATTGCAGCAAAATGGCACAAAGCGATGGTGGTATGGTATGTACAAGGACTGAAGGGAAAGAAGGGAAAATCAGGCAGGAAAAAAGTGCGACAGTCAGCGAAATGAAAATAAATAAATAAGAATAAGTTATAATCAGAAAGAAAGTTGAAGAAAATGGGTAGTTAAGGATAGGTTTAAAAAAGAATTTAAGTCTTTTAAGGAGAAGCTGGATTTACATAGTTAAATATTATTACTAAAACCCCAAAACTAAAATCAAGTTAAAAATAAATTGGTCTTTTCATAGCATACTTTTGGGAGTCAAGGAAGTTGCTCTTTAAGACTCCCCTTTGTATATTCCCCTAAAACTAAAAAAAAAAGAAATATCCCTTTGATGGATGTAAAAGAATTAACTTTGCTTGAACGTCTGCTGGTCTTTTAAGGTCTTTTAAGTTCTTTTAAGTTCTTCCTAAAAGCCAATATACCCAGCAACTTTACGAGCGTAATGAGTGTATAAAAATAAAACTTGTCTACAAGTTTCGTGTAGATTTTCATTAGCCACGGCAATGGCAAAAAAGAAAGAAAAAAAAACCAAAAAGAATAATATCGAAATGAAAACAGACGGTTGGCGGTTGATGGTTGTCGGTTGTCGGTTGTCGGTTGTCGGTTGACGGTTGGATTCAACCTACCTGTTGCCATGAAAGTAATCGAAGTTCATTCTTTACTCTCTCCAGCTGCGGGTCACGAATAAATTCAGGCATTTAAGTTGCTCACGCGATTTGGCAGCAATAATAACAAAAGGAGGCGAAAGTCCGCCAGCGACAATGATGTGTAAGGCAGCAGCCCCAATAGCCCACCCTCTCAGTCCACGGGGCGTATGCGTGTTACAGAAATAAAAATGGCTGCTTTACTACATACACATACTACTACCAGGACATATGTGTGTGTGTTTGCCATAGCTTCATTATGATGGCGTCGTTAGGTCTATTAAATTTCCCTTTGTTACACTCGCCCCAACGTCTTTTGGATTGTTCTCCATAATTTTAGTTACGTATAAAAGAGTCGCAGTTGGGTCCTTGAACTTCACGCAAGTTGGATTTTTAGTGCCGTTCCAACAGTTTGATCTAAATAGCGTTTATTTTTAGATAAAAAATGTTTGTGTTTGGGGTTTCTATTTGAATTTAGTTAGAAAATTAGACATTAATTTGGTAAGATATTAGAGTTTGGCAAGAAAAGGGTTTAGTTTTTGTGTGGGAAAACATGAGTTTTACCCTTTTGTTTAATAATTTTGAAAGAAAGATTTATATAACAACTCAAGAAAGTTCATTGCCCAGTTAAGAAGTTTCTAAGAATAGTATCTCGGCTAACCTTCAGCTATATATTCCCAATCCAAAAAACCCAAAACTTGCAGTCACCCCAAGTTGAAAAACAAAAGTTGCCCATTTAATAAATTAAACTGAAACGTAAGAAATGTAATTTTAAATATAAAAAGAAAACTGCAGGGAAAGTTGGAATAAGAAGAGCAAACACTACGATTGCCAATGGGAAAAACTTTGTTTTGCAGTCACTTTTTCCGAACAAACATTAGCCGGGGAAATCTAGAAATCTCTTTACTTCCTTGGTAGGTGCTAACCACCACATTGGCTAGCCTGAGTATAGCCTGAGTATAGCCTGAGCTTGTTGTCCTTTCGGCCTCGCCTGCTTAACGGCTTATGTGGCAAAGTCGCTAAAAACTTGAAAACTCGCGGCAATGCCATCTAAAATTAATGCGGCATGACCTTTTCACCAAGCCAAACAAGTTGGTACCGAAAAACTTTTGTTGGCCAAAAGAGGAGAAGGAGTCTTCGGTGAGGAAAGAAAAGGACGCAGGGGAGAGGTGGAGTTGAAGAAGAAAAGCTGATGAAACAAATGGTTGAGCCAAGCCGAGAACTACCTGAACTTTGGAGCCATTGATCTGGTGGAAAATGGGAAACGGGAAAAGGGAAACGGGAAGGAGGAGCCTGACTGACTGGTCGTGGCCATTTAATGAGCACATAATTGGCTTGTTGCATATTTTATCGCTTAATTGCCGCACATCGGTTGCGGAGATAGTCGACATCATTCACCACCCACTTGAACAGACAACGAGGCAGCCAACCAGACAACCAGCCAACCAGCCAACCAGCCACCCATCACCTGCCAAGTATTCTCCTTAATTATGCCAAAAGCAGCACTGAGAACAAAGTTCGGGCCAGCTAACTGAAGGGCAGATGTCTTTCAAGATAAAGAATTTGGAAAAGTTAGAAAGAATCGACTTCGACTTTTCACCTTCTACCTAAGGAAATGCATTTCCTAAACACTTTCCTTTACATCCACATTATTTCCAGTGCATTATTTAATCAAAAACGCTACTGCTTGCGGCTTTTGCTGGCGAAAAAGTTGAGCCTTCTTCCTGCCAGGAGATTAATTGACTTTGTCTGCTAAGCAGTTTCCACACTCGAAGGCCCTTGCCTTTATTTCTCAATTAAATAAATCATCAAAATCAAGATTGGTTTGATGATATTGAAGGATTAGGGATTGTGGTGAGGGAATAAGTAGAAAAAACCCAACAAATAAAAACAAGAATATTTGTCAACAATGAGTAGTAAAGTTTCTTAACGTTTTCAAGTTAAAGCGTAGATCGAAAACAATGCTGATGATGGCCCTGCGGTGTGTTGGGGCAAAGTGGAGCCTGTAAGTCCAGGCGTGATCGCCTGATCCTTGACATCCGATTAGAATCCTGCTGCTGCTGCTGCTGCTGCTGCTGTATGTTTGTGCCATAATAAACTGAATCTATGTTCCTGGTCTGTGACATTATCTCTGTGATCAAGGGACGATGGCTATCCAAGGTCTGTCGTACACCTGCCAAATGAGTCTTGATCTTGAGCATTTGATAGCGTTCCCATTGTGTCCTTTGGGCCATCAGTTTGCCAAAATGATAGGTGGCATGGTTGGTCAGGGACTCAACGCCCAGGTAGTGGGCAGCCAGAATGAGCTCCACCAGCTGGCAGAGCTCGCTGCCCAGCAAACGCTCTTCCCACGAATAAAGTTTACTTCTAGCCGAGAAGTTCCATGAATTTTCCCCAAATGGCTGCGATTCATTTTCACTTCCTGTACCTTCGTCGTTACTTTTGCATTTTCTGGTATGAGTTTTACTTGAATTTTGTTTTTTTTCGTTATATATATAAAGATTTTCCTCGATGTTTCTATTGGCTTCACCTAGGATGAGTCCCTTTTTCTTACGTTTATCAAAGCCGTTTTCCTTGGCACTATTAACAGTACGATCTTGACTTTTCCGATCTCTATCTCTATTAGGAATTGCAACTTTCTTGTGACTTCCGCTGCCGTTTAAGTCGGTTTGGCATTTGGTTTTTCTTTGAGTGTTTCCAGTACTTGCATTTAGTTTTATCACATTTTCCTTTCTATATTCTCGCTTTGAATTTACACTTCTGGAATATTTCCCAATTTTATTCTCGTTTTCATTGTAGGCATTTTTCTTAAGTTTCTGCTTAAGCTCCCAACTGTTTTCCGCTTTTTCATTGGCAATTATTGTTTTATTTTCATATTTTACACTTTCTGTCGAGGCATTTTCATGATTTTCCTCTTTGGTTTCCATGCCCTTTTCTATTTCGTTGTGGTAATAACAATTTTGACTCCTTAAAAGGCTGTCACTTTCACTGGACATTCTATCACTTCCTTCTATCCTTCCTCTGCTAACACATTTATCCTCTGTGTTTTCTTGTCTGCCTTCTTTTAAGCCATTATATTTATTATTTTTTATAATTTCGGATTTTTCATGCGGATTTGTGGGCTTTTCTTGACTGTTTTCAGTGATTTCCCTATCAGTTTTCACACTATCCGCATTTGTGTTCTTGTTCTTACTAGTTTCCCTCATGTCCTTGGGACTTTCACATTCGCATCTATCATAATTGATACTTTCTTCGTTATCATTTCTTTTAGAATCATTATCCTCTGTCATAGTTTCCTTTTCATAAGTGTTCTTGCCACTGTTCTCGTTATTTTCACTTCCGTTTCCTGTTTCATTAGCAACATCACTATCATTCCAACAAATGCAACTTCGTTGAGATTCTGTTCCAGTTCGGTTGCCATTTCCACACAAGCTCTTCTCGTGCATCCACAGGATCACCCTCAGTAGCGTGACCGAACGTATGGACCGCAGCTCGATGGGCTGTTCCAGCGTGTCCAATCTACACATCACCACTGAGTGGCGGTACATGAGGTGGCAGGGAACATTGATAAGCCGATGATCGCTGCACAGGAAGCGCATAAGTTGCATATCCGGTTGCCTTTTGCCGGCCACCAGCTCGAGAAGATTCTTGGCCGAAACTTGATGGGCCTCGGGAAGCTTTTCATGGTTAGCCAGGGGAATGGATTGATTTAGCTGCTTCTCTGGCTCATGAATCACCTTGCTAGTATTTCGCCAACTAATCGGTTTCATTATCAACGAGGCACTGGCCACCGGTGAACCGTGGGCCAGTTGAATGCGTCGAAAGGAGGTCCGATTGCCGCGTACCGCCGGCGGTATCGAGCGTCGTACTAGTGAGCGTATGATCACATCGGTTTCCGTTTCCAGTTTCTTCATAACCACCGCCGCTTCCAGCGACACTGGCTTGACCGAAGCGGCAAGCTTATTGATCGGCAGAGGCAATTTAGAGCGAAACGTCGAACAGCGATATTTGAAGGCGGCACTACGAGAGCGACAACTTTCCGATTTCGTAGCATGTAGAGCTGTCGTCTTCGAGGTCTTAATGCGCTTCGGAATTCTGGACTTGAAGTTGGTTGACATGTTTTTCGGGTTTTTTTATCGGGTTTCTCGGGTTTTTGAAACTTTTCGCTTAGATTTGGAGCTCGATAGTCGGCTTGTCAGTGTTTTTGTGTAACTGGGCTGAAGGTTATACCTTTGGCAGTGGGATCGAAAGGCAGGCAGGTCTTTGAAGATGTGTAGAAAGAATATTTTATATCGATATTTTATCGAAAGTGTAGCTATTAAATCGATTTATTAGTTTTAGTTGTGCTTTTGAGATGAAATGGTAAAAAGGGCTTTGAAGATGTGAAGAGAGAATATTTTATATCGATAATTTATCGAAAATGTTGATTTTTCAAATCGATTTATACGTTTAATTTGTGCTTTTGAGATGAAATAGTAAGAGAAGCTTTGAAAATGTGAAGAAAAAATATTTTTGTATCGATAATTTATCGAATTTATCGCTTTTTAATTGATTTATAAGTTTAAATTGTAGAATTTTAGATGAAATGGTAATAATTTTCCAAAACTAAAATAATCTTATTAAATATAAAATGTATCGATGTGCAATTTACCGAAAATATATCGTTAAACATTGTCAGACACAGCTTTAAAGCTGCATCTTAGCTTGTTTAGTTGCGTATTAATATAGAAACCATGCAAGCAGCTTAATATTTTCGATTATCAAAAACCAAATTCAATTTTAATAATCGAAATAATCGAACTCTGCTATCAGCACTTTAATTTAAGTGAAAAACTTCTTGTGAAGAGCCCAAGGCAATGGCAAAATCAAAGCTCACTGAAAACAATATTTAATCAACAAACTCAGGGAATTAGCTCCTCAAAGTTAAATAACAATGGTTGGTTTTTTATCTTAGCCAAGTTTAGTTGGCTTTGGGGCATCGAGTATTATTTTTAGTCGGCATGCCAGTGCATTAAGTTAATCACTATTGATTGAATAAGTGCGGGAATTAAGCCGAGATACTTATCGAAAGGCAGCGTGCAAATAGTCAAACCAAATCTCTGAATAAACATCTCTGCCCTTTGGCCATTTTTTGGTATTTGGTATTCCTTTGCTGGAGAGTTTTGATACGAAAAAAAAAAGAAGAGAGGAGGAGAAGGCAAAAGCGGACACCGTTTGACCCCAATTAAATGCAGTTTTAAAACAATTTTCCAGCCTTCCCTTGGGATTTCTTTGGCCAGAGTGTCCTTCTAGTGGGTGTGTGGTGGTGTGCTGGTGTGGTGGTGTGCTGGTGTGGTGGTGTGCTGGTGTGCTGGTGTGTGCACAGCACATTAAAAAGTAATTTAAATTGAATTTCTTGGCCCGCTCCACGGGGATCGGGTGAAATGGGTTTCGGAATCGAGATTGGCATAGAGCAAGCAGCGGTAGGCAAGCAGGCAGGCGGTGCTAGCAGTGCTAGCAGTGCCTTATTGTAATTAGAGAGCGATGAGACAATAAATCTCAATACAGGCGAATCCGTCCATTCAGTTCCGTTTCAATTCCATTTGGTTTGGCGTTGTGCGTGGATTTAAATTGCATTGATGGAAGGGAAAAGCGTAAGGGGAGAGGAAGGGAAGGCACGGAAGGGAAGCCAACGTAGCAGCAGCACCATGGCAATGCATAAATCTATCTCAGTTCCCCGTATTTCCCGGGAAAAATCAAGGAAGGTGTGCCGTGAGTACACAGAAGGAAAAGTGTTGGGGGAAAACTAATGAATCTTGCATGGTTTTCCCTCCACAAATTCCTCAGTTCATAGGTAATATTTTAAGCTTAAATCTACATCTCAATATACAAAAAGATAAATGCTAGTTAATATAGTAAATCTCTATGATTTAAACCTACACAAATCTTCTAAAATTTCTCTCAGTGTCAAAAGCACCAACTAAACGATAAAAACTGAGAGAGAAAACGGGGAAGAGCGGTGAGAAAAGCGGGGAAAGCGGCTTCGTCGTCGCAGGAATTAGCTCAAAATTGCAAAACTTAAGCCAAATGCTGGCGCGGAAAAGGGGGGGGAGAAGGAAGAAAGAAAAAGAAATAGCGAAGCGGAATCGGAATCGGGCTAAAAGGGAAAGCCCAAACCAGGAAGAGGAGAGGGGAAAGCAAAGGAGGCGGTGCGGTTGTAGGTGCAAAAGGGAAAATCAAAACCACGAAACCAGACGAAGGAAGGTGGCTCATTCTTTGTTTTTTATGCCATCTACATAATAGATGGCCCAAGGAAGTAATACAGAAAGAGAGAGAGAGAGGACTAGCCCAGAAAGAGACAGCCAAGGGGGAGCTAGAAAGAGATGGCTAGCAAAGGAAACAAGTCAATTTGCATTCCGGCTTAAACGAACAACGCCGGGTTAGTTAATGTTGCAAAAAGCTTTTGTAGAATAAAAAGGGCATCTCTAATATATATATATCTCATATATATATCTCATATATATATATAGAGATTGGAAGAAAAGGATTTTGTTTACATCAGCAATTGCAAATCAAAGGGGGTAGGGGAGGAGGAAACAACACCACCTAGCTGGCCAATCATTATCGCTTGTGTTAGCCTTTCAAACTTATTTTATTGTTTCAAAATTAGTTTAGCCTCCGCACCTCTGACCCCGCAGACCCCTTGCACTGGGCACTAATCAATCAAGTTACGAGAAAAAACTTCGATTAACTTTCGCCTGGACTTTGCTGGCCAGCAATTAACCTTAACTTTGCTAATGAATCGGACAACAGGAACAACTTTTCCCTAACCAAGCGCCAATGCGCCAAGCCAAAGCAGTTTTTGTGTCAATTCCAGTTCAGGTTATGGCCGAAATGGGTTCAAGTTAAAGTTGGGCAATGAAAATGTGATGTATTTTTGGGGGAAAATCAAAATGTGAAAAGTGTTTAATATTAAGTTAAGGTTTAACCTGCAAGATATCTATGTGCTTAAAGAGACAAACGAATTAATTTTAACGATTTGATAAATCAAAAAGTCAAATATCAGTTTCGAATTTATTTGGAAAGGCAATGCCATGCCACCAGCCCGGCCTTTAGAGAGAGAGCCCTTAGAATAAACTGGAAAACTCATTAAAATGCAGCTAAACAAAAGTGCTGAATGGAATAAATAAATATTATTGACTTTGGTTTATTGCTTTTGCTTTTGGCTTATGTAACTGGCAGGGCTATTATAAAATTAATTAAATTACACACTCACACACACACAAAAGAGACAGAGATAGCTATATATAGATATCCATACCGATGGCATAAGCATAATTTTTTGGACAACAGCCGGCGCAGTTGCACTCGAAATGCAATTTGTATTTGTATTTGTCATTTAACTGCACTCTCTACACTAATTGAGCGGCATGGCAAATGGATGCCAGACAGAGGAATGCATTGACAACAAATAAAAGTTCAATTAACTAAAAGAGAGAGGGGGGCGGGAAATGATAGCTGCCTAATACGTATACGCAATGTGTGACATTGGCGATTTAATTACGGCTTATGAATTGACGGTCATGGATGCTTTTCATGGCAGATTTACAGATTTCTATTGAATGTTTCATAAGCCATGAGTGGAAAATGTAGTTCTGTCTATTTGTTGGGGGAAATTATAGGAAAATTATAGGAAAATTATAGGAAAATTATAGGAAAATTATAGAATCTCCCAAGGAATCTATCCATCACTTCTCCTTAATAGAATTTATTCATATTTCCAGCTTAATTTCCCCAAACAAATATTATTTATTAAAGAACCACATTTCAACCATTGCCTTAACCTTACCATTAAACGCACTTTACTTGAAGGCAGTAAGACCGTTCAAAGAGTAAACTGTGTTGCTAAGCCCCCCAAAAGGGTTTCGAGCCAATCCTTTCGAGTGAATTCCATTGGCCCCAAAGGCAAACATGGGCCACGGCTAAGGCTAATAGTGTGAAAACAAAACAAAGAAACAAATAAATGAGGAAAACAAGAAGAATAAAGGGAAACTGGGGGAAAATATAAGAAGAATAAAAGGGGGGTGGAGAGAGGTAGCGGTGGCTGAAAGAAAATATCGTAAAATGCTAAGGTAAACAAACATTTATAAATAATGAACATTGATTGGTTATTTGAACAAAATGAAGGCGGACATGGATACATCTAGGGTTACGGCCACGTTTACATGCTGAAGTGGGGAAGGCAGAAAACGGAACAGAAAACGGAAGCCGATGGACTGCACTCCATGTAATGTAATTGTGCCCCCTCTGCTGAATGGGTGTCTAATCATTATGGCCAGCAGAGAGGGCAAACACTCATCAAGTGGCTTAATTGTTTTTGGGTGTGCGAAACTATCAGGAGATATCTATGGCGAACTAAATGGTAAAATCAATTGTTGGCAACAAAAGCAGGAAGTTGGCATGGAAATTTCAAAGGAAAACTCAAAAGGAAATGACAAATTACCATGAAAATTGAACATTAAATTGGAAATTCAACTTTATAGATGAAGTTAAGTTTCCAGATTCTAGAACAGAAAACTAGAACTCACATTCTCGGCGTGAGAAAAAAGGAAAGCTGCCAAGGTGTTTGTCCCATTACTCCGTGTCTCCGCTCATTTGGCCTTCATTGAGTTGGGTTTATGGCTTTCAATTTGAGTGTTTCTGTGGGCCTTCTCTGTCATGCATACGTCCAAGGTGCTTAATAATTTAGACCAGACCAAAGACCACCCACCTAGCCAGCCATCCATCCATCCGCCCAGGCAAACGCACACAAATGCAACTGCACGTGCACGTGCATGATGGAGAAAGGCTTTCTTCGTACTCCTTCTTCCTACCCAAACACACACACACACACACACACACACAATCAATGCCATTATGCGTACGAGTGTGTGTACATATGTGCTGTGCGGTATGCTATGCGAATTTAATGCACTTCTTGATGCAGCTGTGCATAAGAAATCAGATTCAACCTGCGAGACGCCAAATAGTCTTACATTTTCCACATCTCAAATGAAGGTGGAGACAACTCTCTCGTTCGCCTTGGATTTTCCACATTTTCTTGGGTTACTTGCTCTGCTCGTCGCATAAACAATGCCACGCCCACAGGTCCGAGTGGTGTCACACTTGAAGAAAAATGTAATTTAACATGCAAACTGAATTATCATTCAGAAAGCAAATTATTTCTCAGTGAAGTGACAGCCGGCAAATGCAAATGCGGTTTTAACATTTCCATGACGTGTTCCGTGCGTTATTTA